TAGGAAAAAAAAAAATTCACAGAATAAAGTATAATTAGGATTGTAGCAGTGTTGGTAACTAGAACTAACCTAAGAAAAGGTGGTAGACTCATTTGCCAGACGCATTAGCCTGTCCATGGGGCGATTGCGACTATAATTGGAGGTACGAAAGGGGATGACAAATGGTGCAGTGGAACGTGTGGAATGTTGAGGTACACGAAATTTTATGCAGGAAAGGAGAGTAGGTGCATCATATGTACCATCAATAATTCGCTGAAGGAATTTAAGATTTCCATTAGCTCTTCTGTCAGCTAGGGTATCTAGGCATAGTTCACGTAGGACAGGTGTGTAGTCGTGAATAGGGTGGTTGATTTTCAGGACACGAGCTGCAAAGTAGAGGAAGAGCCTCTGAACACGCTCAATAATTAATGAGTCAGATGCAGTGTAGGGATCCCATAGTACGCAAGCGTATTCTAATAAGGGGTGGACTAGAGAGCAATAGAGAGTTTTTAATGAGAGGGACAGTTTAAAATCGGATGAAACACGTCTTATAAATCCTAACATCTTATATGCTTTGCAACCGATCGATTGAAGATGAGGGTGGTAGTTAAGATTACTGGTGAGAAGAACCCCTAGGTCTTTTTTACTTGTAACAGATTCAAGCACAGTATCATTGATGGTATAGTTGTGAACTATGACATTTTTGCTGCGATAAAAAGACATTGATTGACATTTGCTGACATTTAAGAGGAGGCCGATAGAGTTTATCCATATAACTAGATTATTGAGTTCGACTTGCAGTGCAAGACAGTCCTCCGTAGATTCAATTTGGCGAAAAATTTTAATGTCATCAGCAAAGGCGAGGAAATTACAATTAGGGATGATTTTTTTTATTTCATTGATGAATAATGTAAAAAGAACGGGTGAAAGATGGCCACCTTGGGGAACTCCCGAGGTGATAGGAAGGACCTCAGACTTACATCCATAGATTTTTACAAATTGGAATCTACCGGACAGATAAGATTTGAACCATGACAGAAGAGGTTCGCCAAACCCAGATTTGTAGAGAAACTCGGAAAGGAAGTTGTGGTCAACTCGATCGAAGGCTTTGGCGAAATCAGTAAAGATTACATCAACCTGGGATTTATTATCGAATGCTTCTAATACAGAGTTGTTAAAGACAGTTAGGTTCATAGCTGCGGAGCGCCCTGGTCTAAAACCATATTGTTCATCGATTAAGATTGCATTAAGAGATGGCTGTATGTTAAGTAAAACTAGAGATTCAAATAATTTCGCTATATGACTTAGTATGGAGATGGGTCTGTAGTTTCTAACGTTCGATTTGTCACCAGACTTGAAAATGGGAGTAACTGAGCTTAATTTCCAGATCGACGGGAATATACCTTCGTCCAAAGAACGCCTAAATATCTGAAATAGAGGAACACACAGAAAAGACTTAAGGTTATATAAGAAAGTACCTGGTAGACCATCAGGCCCAGTGGAATTCACATTCTTTAATTTAGCAAGACCAGCCTCAACGTCAGCTACACTAAAATTGCAATTACTTGGCAATTCGTAATATAAGAAGGGGAAGTCATCTGGATAGACAGGAGAAGGGGCAGTAAAAACGGAATTGAAATAGGATGAGAATAAATTAGAGACGGGGACAGAACCAGAACTAGTGCATTCATCAAAGTATACAGTTTCAGGAATATCGCTGTTAGATTTATTTTTACGAACAAAGTCCCAGAATGATCGTGGATTGTTTATGAAGTTATTTTCGGTGCGTGTTAGGAATGCTTTATAACAGCGTTTTGATTCAAATTTATACTGTGCACGGAGGTTAGAGAAGTGAGTGTAATCTAGTGGCTTATTGGAGGACCTATAGACCGCGTGTGCTTTCTTTTTTGCGAGAACAATGGATTTTAGATCTTTTGAGAACCAGGAGGGGAACTTGGACTTAACGTATCTGTTCTTAGGTACAAATTGTAGGATAGAAGAGTGGAGGGCATCGTAAAGTGCATTTGTGGCTGAATCTACGTTAAGATTGTTAATGGTTTCAGGCCAGTTGAATGAGTTTAGAAAATTAAGTATTTTTGGGTATGAGGTTTTCCTGAAGTTAAAGTAGGTATGTGACTTATCGAGAGAAGGAGTATCTGTTAAAATTGGAAGAGAGATGTCAAGCGCAGGGTGGTAAGAATCGGAGGGCACGACATTAGATGAAGATTTATCGATGTATATGTTTTTGTTGTTAGAGAAGACGAGATCAAGATGTTTACCTTGATTGTTAGACACGTTATTTAGCTGGAAGAAATTTAGATACGAGAAGGTTTCGGGAAGACAGTGACTTGATGGAGAGGAGTATAATAGACCATAGTTATCATTGGACCATGAGATGTTTGGTAGGTTGTAGTCCCCGCAAAATAAGAATGTGCAGTTAGTATTAGCTAAAGCAATAGTTTGAACGGATGATACATGAGATTCATATATGGTTAAGGTACTGCTAGGTGGAATATAAACCGAGGAGAGAATAAATGAGATGTTCTGAGTAGAGAATTTAACGAATAGGTGTTCAACATTGGTGGAGGAGGGTGATATGCGTAGGCAGCGTATATCTTTACGGACAGCAATGAGAGTACCACCACCTCTACGTAGACTACTTGTAGATGGATTTCTGTCACATCTAAATATGACGTAATTTTCCAGGCCTAGTTCATTGTCACCAATACTCTCACATAACCACGTTTCAGTTAGACAGATAAAAATATAATTAAATACAGCAACATTACATTTAAAAATAGTGAGCTTGGATCTAAGACCCCTACAGTTTTGGTAAAAACCAATGGGTACCTGCGCTTTGTTGGGAGTATTAGGTATGTCTACAAGAGTATGGTGAATTAGATTGGAAGTGAGGGAGTATCTGGGTTGGATATTTAATAAACCATTTTTAAGGAGTTGGTGGTATGTTCTAGACGAATGTATACATAAATTACATTGGTTGGAGGGGGGGTAGAGGCAAAAAACAGCTAAAATTAGACAAATGAGAAAATTTACATGATGAATTATGGTTATTAATGTGTATGGCTGCTACTTCTCTGAGTTTTTTGACTGGTGTGATATGTTGGTCCTGGCTGGAACAATCTTGGGTAATCCATTGAAGTAACGGATTGAGATGTTGGATTCACCCTTTTCTTGTCTATCACGTAGTTCCTGATGTACTTCATAAATTGAACGTCTTTCGGAGGGTGTGCGATCCCTGGTGATAGATACCTGGGAATACCCGTCAGGAATGTTGGAGCGAAGACGTAGAAAGGATATTACTACATGGTTCACCTCCTCCTGAGAGGTGAGTTCTACTTTTAATAGTCGTGGTTTGTCATTGATAATCTTTCCAACCCTAAAAACTTTGCGAATTACCGTTTCAGGCAGTTTGGGCTCAAGTTTATCCAACATTTCTTTGACAAATGTTTTGTCTGCTGAGGAGGAAGAGGCAGATGTATTGACAGATGACTCAGGTACACCACGAATAATGATGTGAACAGCACAACGGGATCGTAGCTGGATTTCATGAGTAATGTCATTCAGAGCAAGAGGAGTAGTAGTAGGTGGTGGACAATGCACGGTTTCGGACAAGTTTTTTTCTACTGCAGCGATTCTTGTATTTAATCCTCCAATAATTGCACCTTGCGACTTTACATCGCTGGTTACAGTATTTAAATTTCCGTTTAAGGTGTTCATCGCTTGACTAAGTGACGTCATAGTTTTAGCTTGCCCCGAGACTCTATCGTTTAACGCTTTAACCGAGGAAGAGATAACCTTTAGAGCTTCGTCTGATTTGGATTGGTTAGATTTGATAGATTTTAATTCTTGCAAAATGAGGTTGAACTTGTCGTCGGTACTTGTTTGACTGGGGAGGGAAGTACAATCGTTACAGATCCATTGTGAATTATTTGAAGTATCATTGACACAGGAAGAGTGGAAAAGGTTGTTGCATTTGGGGCAGCATGTTGTGGGTTGATCACGTTGTAGAAGTTCCGTACAGATTCCGCAGTTAGTACGACCCATTTAGGGAGTATTACCCCTTTTGCAGATTGAAACGCAACACAAGTTGCACAACGGTGTGACAGAATTATAATAACTATAAGGTTTGAATAGGATGGTGTGTTGCAAATGTGGTAGACGACCGTTAAAGTCACCAGATAAAAATCGGTGGGCGGGGATATTGATATGTTGGACAGCTGTTTATAAGAGTGATAGTAGATAACTCGATAAGTTACTCAGGCGAGAATGGTGTGACGACGGAAGAAAAACTTGAAGCAATATAGAAGTTGACAGAAGCAAACGAGATGCAACGACTCACGTAGAAACTTAAGATCACTATGAATGCAAAAAGTACAAGTAACTATTAAAGAGATAAATATTACTATATAAAACTTAATAAAAGAAAAAAGAGCTACTGTAGATAGCAGCTCTGTTATCAAAAAAGAAGTTTTAAATAGTAAATTCCTATAAGAGTTTATAATTTTCACAGCTTAAACATAGTCATGTAAAAACTGTAAAAGAACTACTGATGCCAAATATGAATGTATCTGTAAATTGTATAAGAAAAGAAATTGATGGAACTGATAAACATGACACCAGCATCGAATCAAATGTTAAAAAAATCAAATTTAACACAACACAGACATCTTTGAAAAGCTTCATACGTTCAAAAGATAATAACATAAGTTTAGTTTCTCAAGATAAATATGTACTAGAGTAAATAAATATTTTTGGATTAGTTTTTTAAATCAAATTTATTAATAATTAGTTCTATATTTTAAACTGTAAAAAATATTTTACAACCAATATTTTGCTTAATAGATAAATGTTAAGAGCTGTTGCCTGTTTGTATTTGATAAAATGATTTGTGTAATTGTTCAAAACTATATAAGGTTTAAAAAAGTGCTGCATTATTTATTTATTGTAAAGTAATTATTAATAATTGGTTTTTGTTTTATTTCACAGATACTCTTAATCAAATGGTTCAAGATTTAATAATAAATGCATCTCTACCATTTAACTTAGTGTCACATGAAAATTTTAAGGATATTATTTCTAAAGGATTTAAAGGTAGAAATCTTATGTGTCGCCAGACTCTTATGCAAAATATTGACAAAAGTTTCAATATTCTGTTTGATAAATTGAAAAGTAAACTTAACTCAGTTGAACATTTAACAACAACTGCTGATGCATGGTCAACATTTAAAAGGTATATTTTTTAGATTTTTCATTTCATTATTTAATATTTCATAATATCTTGTTAATTTATTTAGATCTTATTTGGGTATAACTGTTCATTGGATTGAAGAAGGAAGTCTTGAACGAAAATCTTACTTATTATCTATTAAGCGACTGACAGGAAGTCACACTTATGACATATTAGCCAGATCTATGGAATCTGTCTATACTTTGTTTAGCATTAATAACAAAATTTTATATACAACAACAGATAATGGCAGCAATTTTGTTAAAAGCTTTAAGTAAATATTTTATAAATGAGTTAAAATAATGAGTACCGTCAAATGAGATTACAAAATTTATAATACAATTTATAATGTTTTGAATCAAAATGTTTACATTTAAAATAAATAGGTAATTTAAACTGCGATCAATTAAATTTATTTTAAATTGTTTAGAGTATTTGGTGCAAAAGACGATGATATCAATGCCTTGGATGAGTTGAATGATACTCAATCAGATAATAAGACAGCCACAATGCTATACAGCACCTTTATTCCTGATGAGGTTGATGATTTGGATAATTGTACTATAAGAAATGAAGATGAAGATAATGATTTTCAAGATATATCCCATTTTAATATTGCTGAAGTATTTGAAGAGACAGAAGATGAAGTATATATGTTACCAAAACATCATAGATGTGCAGCACACACTCTCAAATTAATTGCTACTAATGTAAGGGAACTTTATTTTTTAATATTTTTAAATTTTAGATTCATACTATATATTATTATCTCTAATTACAGGATATTCGAAAAGCTATTTCTGGTGCAAAAAATGCAGTATCCCCTCTGTGGAAATATAAGCAGCAAAGCAGAACAACCTTTGCAAAATTAACCAATCTTTGGAACAAGCAAAACCGATCTAGTAAAATTGCTGATCTTATAAAAATTTGTTTTGGAGTATACCTTCTCACTCCAACAGAAACTAGATGGAATTCAACTTAAAAATTAAATTAAACGTAAAATTTTTTTTGAAGAATTCCAAATCAAAATCAGGACAATTGTTTCGATTGTGTGATGATATTGACATTGTCCGCTTTAATAAAAATGATATAGAATTCCTTGAATAGTATACTCAAATGATGGAACCATTAGCTATTGTTTTAGACCTTTTACAAGGTGAAAAAAATATGTTTTTTGGTTTTCTAATACCTTCTATTACTGAGTTAATATACAAGTATGAACAATTATTTATCAAAAACCAATTAAAAATCTGTTTGCCATTGGTAGAAGTAATAATAAAAAGTATTGAAAAAAGGTTTGAAAAAATATTAAGTGACCAATTTTTGACAATAGCAGCTATTTCACACCCATATTTTAAAACTGTTTGGATAAAAAACCAAGTTAAAAAAGATTTGGCTATTTCAGATTTTAAAAAAACAGTTTTAGATATGTTTAATGCAAATAGAAATGAGTCTACTACTGATAAACCAGTAGTTGACAATAGTGAAGATGAAGCAGAAGATTCTTCTTTTTTTTCATGGTCTAATGTCACTATTGATAAACTTCAAGAAACGTCAACTATCTCGGTGGAAAATGAAGTGTGCCTTTATCCGAATAGAAGCCCTACAAAAAAACTGACATCCCTTAATGAATTTCCTAATGTGAAAAAAGTTTTTATTAAACATAATACTCCATTGCCCAGCAGTGGTCCTATTGAACGTGTATTTAGTGTTAGTAATGCCATACTAACAAAACGTCGAGGAAAAATGGAAGACAAAACATTTGAAAAAGCAATTTTTTAGTATTATGTAATTATTGTAATTCATCATATTTTGTATTATACCAATAAACTGTTCTACTATTATATTATATTATATTCATGTATTTCATGTTTTATTATTCTAATTATATAACATACAATATTATCTACCTCGCTGAAGTTAAACTTATTAGTAATTAAGTAATAAGTAATTAATAATTATCTATTGACTATTATCTTATATCTGCTTGTACTTATTAAAGTATTATTAAGTCATTGAAACGTTTATAAATAAGTTTAAATACCTATATATTTGCATATAGTGTTTAATTATATATATTAATTATTATTTATTAATAAAATTAACATTTCAATATGAAATTTATTGAACTAAAAAAAAGTATTTTTTAAGTATTTTGAATACTTTTAAAAAGTATTTGTATTTATATTCAAATACTTTTAAAAGGAAGTATTTGAATACGTATTTTAAATACTAATGATAACAAGTATTTAAATACGTATTCTGAATACATTTGAAAAGTATTCTTAACAAGACTGACTAAACCGGATACCAAGGTTTCACCGCTGTTGACACCACCACGACCACCACGACCGCGTCCGCCACGACCGCGGCCACCACCGCCGCCGTTCCAGCCGCCGCCGCCATCAGTGCCGAATTATATTTTTATACAACATGCCATATAATCTTAAAATCTCATTTGAACTTTATACCTATATTAATTGAATGTCCCTATAATATAGATGTCGATCAATGTATATTTTTCCACTGATGGCGGCGGCGGCTGGAACGGCGGCGGTTAAAAGTTTATATTGATTATAATACTAATCTTAGATCAGAATCTAAGAATGAGTTTGAAAAAGAATTTTTCAAATTAATGAAATAGTGTTTATGGACGTACTATGATGAATGTTCGAAATCATGTTGATATAAAATTATGTTCTAATGCAGCCCAACTAGAAAAATTAATTACAAAACCAAATTTTGATCGAAGGACAATTTTTACAGAAAATTTAGCTGCCGTACATATGAAAAGAACACAAATATCTTTCAAACAACCAATATATATAGGAATGTGTATTTTAGATTTATCTAAAATGTTAATGTATGATTTTTATTATAATATTATAAAGAAAAAATATCGAAATAGAGTTAGATTGTTATATACAGATACAGATTCCCTAATATTAGAAATAAAAACTAAAGATTTTTATCAAGATATGAAAATTATGATAGATCATTTTGACACTTCAGATTATCCAAAAGATAACATTTATGGTTTACCTTTAGTTAACAAAAAAGTTTTAAGCAAGTTTAAAGATGAGTTAAATGGAAAAATAATGACTGAATTTATAGGTTTAAGATCTAAATTATATTCTCATCGAATCTTAGATACTGAAAAAGAAATTAAAAAAGCTAAAGGTGTTAAAAACAATGTTGTAGAAAATAAAATATGTTTTAATGATTTTGAAAAATGTTTACTAACAAAAGAATCAAAATATGTTAAACAAAATTTATTTAGAACTAAGAAACATGATATTTTTACTGTAGAACAAAACAAAAAAGCGTTAAGTGTTTATGATGATAAAAGATTTATTTTGGAAAATGGTATTGATACATTAGCTTGGGGACATTATAAAACAAACATAGATAGAAACGATTTTGTAAACCATCTCAATACACTGATTAGAAATCAAAATCGAAAAGATTAGAAAAATATTTGATATTTAACGTGTGTCCGAATTGGACACGCGTTTAAATATATAAGTTTTTTGCATTTCGATTTTTATTTTTAATAGAACAATTCTATTAAAAAATATTTTAATTATTATTGCATTTCGATTTTAATTATTAATATCATAAGTATTATGAAAAATATTTTGGGGGTTTTTGCATTTAATAAGTTTTGTGAAAAATGTTTTTATTATTATTGCATTTCATAAGTTTTGCGAAAAATATTTTAATTATTATTGCATTTCAATTTTCTGATCTTTTTGCACATTGTTTTCTTTGTGATCTTTTACTGATATATTATGAGGTGCGCCAGGAATGGTATATATATACTACTCACGTGCATTGATGAAGTCTTTTCTAGTATTATGTTTCTGAAATAATACAAATGCATACAAATATCTGCTGATATATTGTTAGAGCATATAAATAATAATTCTAAATAATTTACCACATAGTGTGTGAGTCGCAGCCAGTTTAAATGCATGTTCGACATCAGTTACGTATTCATTACAAAATCCGCATCCAGAGAGAACCACGTGGAGGTTGTCGAACTGTCTCTCCTCCTCGAGTCGTACTTACGACTACTTATGAACCATGTGTCACACATACTTTTGTTACACAGACTTGGATCACACAGATTGGATTCGATGTTCATTAAGTTCTTGTAGACTTCATTGTACAGTTATATCGCTTGTAGAACTTCTCTGTACACAATGTTCTTAGTGACAAATCTACCACGGTCATCACTGTACATACCTACTCTAATGGATTGAGAGTCCAACCTCGCTCACTCGGGAAAACGCTACATACAGTTGTCCGTGCGTGAACACCGGTGATGGCAGGAGCAATCCAACTCTATCAAACGTTTGTCCCTGTGACTTCTTAATGGTCATAGCAAACGACAAACGTACTGGAAATTGCACTCGTCGCATTATAATGGGCAGGTCGTCTTCGCCACTTGACGTGAGCGGTACCGCAGGTATGACTATATCTTCCTGTGCACCACCAGACAACATCCTCGCTTTGAAGTTGTATCGACGCAGTTCAGTAACAACTAACCGTGTACCATTGCAAAGACGTCTCTTAGAATCTAGGTTCCTAAGCAACATGACAATAGAACTGACCTTTAGCGTCAAGTTGTACGGCGGCAGTCCGTCCGGTTGCAGAGTGTTGAGAAACTCTGTCGGATAATTGGATACTTCGTCGGGGTCGTCGACCACCACAGTGTCTATGGCCGTGTAGGTTCGGTGAACTTCGTCAATGCGTTGTAACACCGTATTATTGACCTGCCTGCATTCGTCGTTCCTGGGACATAAAATTATTTTCCGAGCAAACTCATTGACGTTAGCCAACGACATTCGCTGCGGAAAAACAAAATCAATCAAATTAGCGACCTCACATACCATTTCCCGGGGTATTTCAACAGTGTCCTGAATACCGTCGACCGCTGGCAATTGGCCGCTCCCGAGCTGAAGCAACCATGTTGCGAAGTCAGCGTCGTTATCGGCGCGCATGTTCCGCGTCAAATTGAACTGTTCCAGGTTGCGCCACAAAGAGTTGTATTTGATAGACGACCTGACGATGTCACTCCTTGTTCCCCTGCGCACGACAGGTAGAATCTGCCTGAAGTCGCCGGCGAACAATACCGGCTTACCGCCGAACGGCAATTCTGAACCCATGATGTCCTGGAGCAACCTATTGACCACTGTGAGTTGTAGTCCCGGAGACATGGGCGCCTCGTCCCAGACGATGAGTGCTGCGTCACGTATCCTCTGAGCACGCAACGACTGCAAGGTGATGGTCGACGTAGAATCGTCGTTCAGTGTACCGAACGGCAATCCAAACGTCGAGTGCACTGTCATGCCGCCATCCATGAGCGACGCTGCTATTCCTGTAAAAGCCACGGACAACACGGATCGCCCTTGGTTGCGAAGCGACCATATGAGGCACCCGTTAGTGTTGTTTTTACCTGTTCCTCCGGGACCGTCAATGTAGAAAAGTTTTGATACGTTTCTGTTGTCGTCTACGGCCGCCATCACACGATTGAACACTGTCCGTTGTTCGTCGTTCAAATTGTCCAATTGTACGACAAGCGCACCGCCGCATCTATAGCACCAAACATGTCATCGTCCGGGTCTTCTTCCAGCAATGTGACGTCCGGTAGTGGCAAACCGTAGTCCGCAAGCGATTTTCCGTGACCACGAAGCATCCTGTTGATTGCGTCCAAACACGCAGCCCTCGCTCGGTCAATGTCCCTCAATCGGTGATTGAAGTCCTGCAACATGTGAGGTTCGCTGGCTTGATACAACGCCAGCGAGTTTGTGATCTCGCAGTGCAAAAGCATCGTCACAAAGACGTAACGAAGCTGGACTGGAGTGTCCAATGTTGCTGATTCGGCCATGCACTCCAACATAGCTCGGTCGTCTTCCACAAGTCCCATCGCGACGGCTGCAGACGCGTATGTTGGATGCTCTACCCCGTCTACTTTCCTCATGTCCCGGAAACACTGTGGGCCCCTCTTGTGGAGGAGTAGTAATCGTAGGTAGAAACGATCGCGATCAAGTGGGTTGACAACGTACATTCGAGCCAACGTCTCGTACGTCATATTTCTTTGACGTCGTATCCACGTTCTTCTAGACGCGTTCCAAGTGTAATGTACCGGTATCTCCTGGTAGAGGTACTGTCTAGCGTCTTCGTCTGTCGCGTTGAGGTCGAAGAATGCCGTGAGTTTGGTTTGGTTCTGCACCCGCTCTAGTACCTGTCCAGGTCCAAAGTACACGTTGTGATAGTCTTCCAGGTGGACAGGTAGTCTATTGATCGTATGACTCTTGTTATGCATTTCATACGAAAATAACCTCCAAACAGCTTCTGGTGGACTGACGTACCGTGAGTTTATTTTAACTGAAATCAACATCAACGAATATCATAAACATTTAGGAATAAAATAATATATATATGTATTATGTATACATCTAAAAATCATAGGAATGAGATTACCTCACAATGAATATTTGCTTTCGATTACAATAAATAATATTAAGTTGACGTTGCATACAAATATATCTAATAAGTGTAGAGTGTAGTTAATTATTATTGTATTAAAGTGGTATGCAATGTTATTGTAGTTAACAAAATGTTGTTATTATTATTATTACTCAACTATGTGCCCAAGGAAAATATTAAAACAAATAATAGGTAGTTATTAAAATTGAATCATTTTAAATTGAGCAGCATTATTGGTTCATAAGTCACAAAATGAAATGTAATATTATTATATTGTGTATGTATAA